CTCACACCCTGGGCCCAAATGTGACACCCTGAGCACCATTATCTCACACCCTGAGCTCAGTGTGACACTCTGAGCTCAATATATGACACCCTCAGCACAAAATATGACATCCTGAGCTCAATATGTGTCACCCTGTGCACCATTATCTCACACCCTGAGCTCACTATGTGACCCCCCGAGCTGCCTGCGTGACACCAAGTGCAACACATCACAGCCCCAATACAACCAGTCCCCCCCAGGCAGCCCCAAGAGGTCAGAGCAGCCAACTGCTGCCCAGCTCTCTGCACACAGGGCTCCCACGGGGGGCTGTGCTGAACGGGGCCGACGTCTCCCGCAGCTCTGCTGGCACAGCAGCCCCAAATGGGAGCAGAGGTGCAGGACAGCAGGGTGCCCCGGGGGGAGCTGGGCTGGCCAACGTGAGCAGCAGCAGCCACAAAGGCGCCGGCCAGGCTCAGCACAGAGCACAGCTTCGTCGTGGAGCTGCCTGCAACCGCTCTGCTCTCAGCACGCGTTGGCTGGGGGGCGGCGGGAGGAGATGCTGGGCAGGAGGGCACTCACCAGCTTCCTTCCATCGATAGCTGTGCTGTGGGAGGGGGGATCTCAGCTCTGAACAAAGGGCACAGAATCACAGGAGGACAGAATGGTTTGGGTTGGAAGGGACCTCAAGGATCACGAAGCTCCAACCCCCCACCACACACAGGGCCACCAACCTCTGCATTGCACAGCAGCCCAGGCTGCCCAGGGCCCCATCCAAGCTGGCCTCCAACACCTCCAGGGATGGACGGGGCATCACAGCCTCTCTGGGCAGCTGTTCCAGCCCCTCCCCGCTCTCACAGCACACAACTTCCCCCTGACATCCAACCTCCAGCTGCCCTCCCTCAGCTTCCAGCCGTTTCCCCTCGTCCTGCTGCCATCTCCCCTTGCCAGGAGTTGACTCCCCTCCTGTCTGCAGGCTCCCTTCAGCTCCTGCAGCTGCACTCAGCTCACCCCCAGCTTCTCATCTCCGTGCTGAACAGCCCAGCTCCCTCAGCCTCAGACTCCCTCAGAGCTCCTTGTCCTGGATCTGCCCTCCCCAGACAAGCAGAGCACTGCAGGCTCTGTGTGCCCCCCATTCCCAGAGCAGCATCCCAGCCCCAGGGCAGCTCTGCTCTGTGCCATCCATTGCAGCTCTTCCTGTCACCTGAACGCACAAAGTCACTGAAGTGGGTCCAGGAATTTGTGTGTTTCAGCATTAGGAATCCCCCAAATAGGACCCTTCAGCTCTTGGATCAGCAGATGACAACCATGCTGAGCTGCAATCCCAGCTGGGGGTTCCACATCTGCACATCTGGAAGCACCCAGGCTGTGCAGCTGGATGCTGAGCAGTGCAGCCACAGCACGACAGGGGAGGGAAGGGGAGAGGAGCATCACAAAGAGAGTCATGGGATCACAGAACGGCCTGGGTTGCAAAATACCCACAGTGCTCACCTGGTTCCACCCCCCTGCTGCGTGCAGGGTCACCAACCAGCAGCCCAGGCTGCCCAGAGCCACATCCAGCCTGGAAATGAAAAACTCAAGCCAAGAGTGAGAGGCAGCTCATGGAAAAAACGCCGAGGGACTGCATTGGAGGGACATGAAATGGGAACAAGGGGCAGATATTCCCGTCTGCTGCAGCATCTGAGAGCTGCAAACTGCTCCTGGAGGATGGAGCACTCGGCTGCTGCCGCAGGCACAGCATCAGCCACGAGGCCCAAACTGCAAACAGGCTCCCATCGCTTGCATTTCTGTTGGCAGACGCATGCGGGGCTGAGGGCAGAGCGCTGTGCGGCTCAGGGCTCTGCAGGGATGGGAGCTGGGCTCTGTTGGGCAGGGTGAGAGGGAGGGGAACTGCAGGGCAGGCAGAGCTGCAGACGTGACAGCTGTTGGCTTATGTGATTCAAAGCCAATTGCCATAATCATAAAGGAGCAGAGGAATGACGACAGGTAGAGGAGCTCTGATGACCCCGTCAGCGCTAGCAGAGCAGCAAATTCTGGCACAGGACAGCAGGGGAATCCCCATCCTCGGGCTGTAGGGATGTGGCCCTTGGGGACGTGGTCGGGGGGGTGGGCTGGGGTTGGGCTGTGGATCTCAGAGCTCTTTTCCAACCTGAATGATTCTGCGTTCCTACGATCAGAACTGCCCCCACCCCAGGCAACCCCAGCGCTCACAAGGAGCACCATCAGCAAGTACTGCTGCACCACAAAACACCTGCCAGCGTTTCCCACCTCCATTTCCCTATTTGAATTCGCCATCTCTGACATGAAAGCACCTTTCACGCGTCTGTGCAGCGCAGTACCGCAAAGCCTCGCAGCTAAAAGCCTGAAAGTGAATCTCAGTGGGGACAGAAATGGAGTGCCACACTTTACAATGCCTGTGCCGCTTCAATCTGAATGCAGCACGTCTCTAATCTGTGTGCTGGGGCGGGCAGATGAAGAGGAGTCTGGAGAAAGCATTCCTAGAAAGATCCCAGTGAGCTGGGAGGTCTGTGCTGCACAGCCTGCTGCCCAACGCTGCCCACCACAGCCCAACATCCATGGAAAAGAGCATTTCTCATTGGGAGCCTCAGCTGGGCTCAGCAAAGCCCCCCCAGCACCAGGAGCACCTCTGCAGCTGGTACAGATGTAGAAGCAGAGGATGGTTGGGTTGGAAGGGTCCTGAAAGATGACAGAACCACAGAATGGTTGGGTTGGAAGGGTCCTTAAAATGACAGAAGCACGGAATGGCTGGGTTGGAAGGGTCCTGAAAGATGAGAGAACCACGGAATGGTTGGGTTGGAAGGGTCCTGAAAGATGAGAGAACCACGGAATGGTTGGGTTGGAAGGGTCCTAAAAGATGAGAGAACCACGGGATGGTTGGGTTGGAAGGGTCCTGAAAGAACACACAATCCCCAAACGGTTGGGTTGGAAGGATCCTTGAAAACCACAGAAGCACGGGATGGTTGGGTTGGAAGGGTCCTTAAAGATCATAGAGGCACGGGATGGTTGGGTTGGAAGGGATGCTATAGAATACAGAATCCCAGAACGGTTGGGTTGAAGGGACCCCCTGCCCCACTCCTGCTGTGGGCTGCTGACCCCCAGCCCAGGCCGCCCAGGGCCCATCCACGGCCTCGGGCACCTGCAGGGATGGGGCCCCCACGGTTCTGGGCAGCAGTGCCAGGGCTGCACGGCCTTTGGGAGAAGGATTTTTCCCTTCCACATCTCCCATCCCCACACTGGACTGATGCAGACAGACCGTGCTGCCTTACTGGTGTAAAGCCTTAGGACGCTTGCATGGGAAAACAGCAGAAAGCAAAACCCTGCTCCGTGTCGGCCATCCCTGACCTGCTCCGTCCCCACTGCGGGGCTCAGAGGATCCACAGAGCTGCAGGGATCAAAGGCAGCTCTGCAGCCGCCCCTGCAGCCGTTCCCAGAGGCTCTGGGGTCCATTTGCAGTGAGGATGCAGACGCAGACGGAGCGATTGGAGAACCCTCCCTCCCCCACTGCTCTGCAGCGGCCCCTTCTCCGGCTCCCACTCGGCCTGTATCCATTTGGCACAGATTCTGAACATCGTTTTCGTTTTCAAGCACCACGGTAATTTCTCCACCGCTCCCCTCCTATAGCAACGAAAATCCCCGCACACGTTAACAAATTAATGTTCTCTCTCTGTCTCAAATTGCTCCTTCAAACTGTCCCCTGCTGCGCTCGCCGGGAGACGAAGCGGCCGCTGACGAGGGGCGCTCCTCACCACGCTCCATCCCAGTGAGCTCCAGGGCACTGCAGCCCTGCACACAGCACAGCAAATGGGGCTGGGGGCACCTGGGGACCCTCTGGTGTCCTCTGCCTCCATCGCAGCCCCCAGAGCCCCGAGCAGCCCCTGCAGGACTGCCAAGGAAGGGCCGAGCGGGTGATACGGGCAGACTGCAGGCATCCTCCAGATCTGCTTCCTCTTTAGACCCCAACTGTTGCATTGCTGGGCGAAGCCGCAAGAAATATCAGCACAAAACCATCCTGCAGAGGCGGCACCCAGTGGGGTCCTTCCTCCAGGTTCCACCCTCCCCACAGTTTCAGCCAGCCCTTCTCAAGCACAGAGCGCACGCATCTGTTGGACGGTGCTGCACCGAAGGAGCACCAAGGCATTTCCACCTTTCCATCCAAGGCGTTTCCACCAGCACTTCGGTAGCGCTCACCGCCCCCCGCTCGGAGCTCCTGCTAAGGGGCAGCAGCAGAGCACAGGGGGGGCTGTCAGCCCCGTCCCACCACCCTCACCCCAATCAGCCCCGTCCCACCACGCTCACCTCAATCAGGAAGTCTCCCGTTCGGAGCCCCGCTCTCCACGCAACGCCCTCCACGTCCACGGATTCCAGGTACTGCAGCGCGGGGAAGGCCGGCGTGGGGGTGAACTCCTCGATGGGGGTTTCAGCTGCAAAAAAGACAGAGACAGAGATTGAGGTGCTGCATTTGGGAGCGGACAGAGGTGGCGAGAGGCGTCCAGGAGCCCAGGAAAAACTCTGTTGAATCGGTCTGCGTGCGCAGCCTGCCTTGGCTTCATGCAGGAACCGCGGCACGGCTGCGGCGTTCTCCAGCTCAGACCCTGAGATGGCCCCACAGAAACGAGGAGTGCTGGGAGTAGCACTGCTGCCAGAAGGTCCCCAAAGCTTCCTCCACGTCCCAGCACCGTGCACGGAACGGGGACAACATCTAGGATGCAGGAGTGGAGCTCGCTGACTGCGGGGTGGCTGCACAGGAGACGCATCCCAGTGCCACCCCCAGACCATGCGTGCATCCTTGTGCGCTGCTGCACTACGATGCCCTCCAGCACGGGGCGTCCAGAGTGCCCAGAAGCAGGGAGCCACTCACTGATGGACACCTGCATCAGCCCAAGGAGCCCCTGGTTTAATCACATCCCCAGCTGTAAAGCTTGCCCTGTCCCACAGCAACGGCCTCCAAGGAACGGCCTCAGTTGGACCAGGAGGGCTCTGACACTGCGCAGCCCCGACCTGCCCTGCACTGCTGCTCATCCAGGGGAAGGCGTTCTGCCCAGCTGAGAGCAGGCAGGAGCAGACAGTGTGATGTGATGTGTGAGGAGATGAAGGAGAAGGTCGGACATCAGGGGGAAGTTCTTTACCCAGAGAGAGGTGAGGTGCTGGAACAGGCTGCCCAGAGAGGCTGTGGATGCCTCATCCTTGGAGTGAGGTGTACAAGGCCAGGTTGGATGGGGCCCTGGGCAGCCTGGTTTAGCATTAAACGTGGAGGTTGGTGGCCCTGCATGTGGCAGGGGGTTGGAGATTCATGATCCTTGAGGTCCCTTCCAACCCAAACCATTCTGTGATTCTGTAAGAAGGGCTCCTTCGCCATGAGACTGCTGCAGGTTTCGAGCAGCACCAGCTGCATTAACAAGTGATGCACCTGGGCAGGCTCTGAGCCCCACAGCAGTACTGAGGGTCTGTTGGGCTTTGGGGCCAGCTGTGGCTCTCCAGCACTCTGCCTGGGGCTGTGCACTGTGACAGAGCTGCCTTTGTGCTGGGTTCACAGCGAGATGTGAGATGTGAGAGCCTCACCAGGGCTGTACGACCAGCAGCACCAGGAGGGGCTGCAGGAGGAGCTCCAGATCCCTTTCCTACCCACCTGCAATCGCATCACGCATCCCCAGGCAGATGGGCCCTCCTCACAGCCTGCTCCACAGGCAGGGAAAAAGCAGGAATTATCTTCCCAAAGCATTTTGTGGTGCTTTGGCACCAGCACCAGCGGAGCGCTCAGCTCTCCCTCTGCACCACAGCAGTCCCAGGACAGGAGAGGGGATGGGGCTGCAGTGAATGGCACCGCTCTGATTTGGGAGCAGCAAAGCTGCACGGCCACATCCTGAAACCAGCAATGCCAACAAACCCACTCTCCCTGCCTGCACAAACAGGAGACCATGCGTCCACATCACTTTGTCACGCTGCAGCAAAACTACCAACGCGCTGGGAACAAGATGTGCTCAACCCCTCCACGCTCTGACTGACCTGCATCCTCCTGGAACAAGAGAGGGATGCTGGATGAGAGGGATGGCTTCCTTAATCCTTCCCTTCCTGTTTTTCCAGCTTGGAGACTGGGAACAACCTGTGCTGCAAAGAGCCGTCAGCACTGCACAGCTGCCCAGGGCAGCGGGGAGCCCCCATCCCTGGGGGTGTTCAGTGAGCACAGGGATGTGGCACTGGGGGACGTGGGCTGGGGACGGGTTGGGGTTGGATTGGGGGTGTCAGAGCTCTTCTCCAACCTGAATGACTCTCTGAGTGAAGGTAAAGCTGGCCGGGGTGGGGAAGAAGTGGGATGGTGAGGACAGAAATGCCCAGAGCAGAGCCTGGGAGTCCCACAGCCCCAACCCCAGCACAGCCAGCAGCTCTGGAACCCTCAGCCTACAGCAAAGTTCCCATCAGGATTTTTAGGAGAAGTTTTTGAGCCAGAGGGCAGTGAGGCACTGGCACAGGTTGCCCAAGGAGGCTGTGGATGCCCCATCCCTGCAGGCATTGGAGGCCAGGCTGGATGTGGCTCTGGGCAGCCTGGGCTGCTGGTTGGCGACCTGCACACAGCAGGGATTGGAACCAGATCACAGAATCACAGCATCACAGAATTGTAGGGGTTGGAAGGGAGCTCCAGAGATCATGGAGTCCAACCCCCTGCCAAAGCAGTTCCTACAGCAGGTCACACAGGTCGGCATCCAGGCAGGTCTGGAACATCTCCAGAGCAGGAGACTCCACCACCTCCCTGGGCAGCCTGCTCCAGTGAACAGTGGGACCCATAGAGACACATTGGGACCCATAGAGA